AGCAATTAACCACTAGGAAGAATGTATGCAATGTGTTAATTATTGAAACTGTCCTACCAATTTGGTTTGAAACTGTCTCATTGCTATTTGTTTCTGAATAAAATTATGTGGGAAAAAAAGAAATATGTAATTTTAAAAAAAAATTTTGGGGGGTGGCCTGCCCCTTAGCTCATTTCTTTAAGTGGCTTCTTCAGCAAAGCAGTAAGGCTCAGGTTGCTGTGGTTCGATCCCCACAACTCAAGCCAGCCAAACCTGCCCTGAAGGCATTTGGAGAAAAAAAAAAAAAAATTAATTTGTTATTGTGTTTCTCTTCTCTCTAAAAAAACAGACTGTTTTGCATTAGTTTCAATGACATGTTGTTGAAACCTTGAGGACAATTTTAAAGAAGGAAAAGCAAAAATTGTAAGGGATGAATTTTAAGAAGACAGCTTTGTCAAAAAGATTAATCCTTTTAAATAATAATTTCAATCTTTCCTTTTCTCCAGCGATTTAGTGCAATTTCAAGAAAACTAGGTTGCTGCTCTACATAAAAATTATTTTGTGTTTTCTACTTGTTTAAGGAATGGCTTAATGTGACGTTTTATTATTAAAAATAAACAAGTCAACCTCTACATCACTAGAGTCCTTACAAAATTTAGTAAGCACCCTGCTGGTTCTTTTTGAAAATGCTGTTTATAGAAGATTTTATTTCAGAAGATTTTATCTAGAAAGAGAGAACGTTTTCTTGGGATAGAAGGTTGGTGCTCAGACTTCTTGTGAAGACCAAGCTCCTCCAAAGCTCAAGTTCCTTGTACAGAAGTGTGTGGCTCTGAGCATGCGCTCAAGGTGCATCTTCTGCGTGTAAAGCATGTCCAGATTATTTATTGTAATGAATGTAATATAAATGAGACCTACATCGCTGCTATACTGCATTATTTAGGAAACAATGACCAAGAAGGTGACAAAGGTCTGTGAATGTTCACTACAGACGCCAACATCTTCAGCCTAGCTGCACACGACACCCACAGATGCAAAGCACCGAACGCTTGAACAGTGCTGGACAGAGAATGAGAAAGAGTCGGTGAGAGGGCTGGTGGTTAGGCGCGGGAGGAGAATCTGTTCATAATCCTGTGCAGGACTCAGTGTGCTGTAACCTCATCTTCTTTTGTAAAACTTCATGGGATTACATTTTTTGGCTATTTTTGCCCCGAGGTCAACTGAATCCCCGGAAGTAGAACTCATGGGTACAAAGAATGGACTCTGGTTTGAGAAGCAATTTTTAGAGTGAAGCGTGAGCGTAATATCTTGGATACGGACTTTTTCAATGTGTGCGTGCACATTTGTGTGCTTGTGCGTGACAAAAGATTGAATCATTTAATTTTGATTTCTAACCCAGGAATTGAATTGCCCCAAGTGCACACTCCAGCACACGGCCTTCTCTTCACGCCCTTCTTCCTCTTTCACCCTATTGGTTGTTTGTTTCAATGCTCACCTTAGTTGCGCTTTTCTGGAAGTTTCCTGAGTGCTTCTCCCTGTGCAGCACATATCACAATTACAAGACTTTAATTGAGAAGGATTTTTTTTTTGGGGGGGGGGGCTGGATCAGGCTGCCTTAAGGGCAGGTCTCGGGATCGGGATCGAACCGCGGTATCCTGTGCCTGACTGCATTTCCATAAGCAGGCACTTAAACAACTGAGCTAACTCGCAGGCCCCTATAAGAATTTGCTTGGTATAATTCTCTTCTTCATAAGCTATAAACAGCCTGAGAGATAGAAGATTGCCTGTTTATTATTCTTTTTAAATTTATTATATTATTATTATTATTACTTATTGATATAGGGTCTGGCTATTCAAGTCAGACTCACAATGATCCTGGTGTCTTAGCCTCCCCAGTGCTGGGATTGCAGGAGTGCACCACCGTGTCTGGTTTCAGGGCTGGCACGGTGCCCCCGCATTGTATGTGGTACTGGGAATCGAACTTGGGCCCTTGAGCTTACCAGACAGGCACTTAGCCCACCGAGCTAGCTCCCCATTCCCACTATTGTATTTCTAGAGTTAGTTAAGTGGGCTTTTAAGTCATAGTTGGAAGACAGGAAGGAAAGAAAATGGATCCCTTCTATTGCTCTTCTATTCTTTATTCTTTTGCTATTCTACTATGGTTGAAGTTTGATTTCACCATTTCCTTTTTTACTTTATTTGAGAGAAATTGCAGCTATTATTAAATCACAGATATATCATTATTTCTTATATAACTGTATAGTTACCTTAAATGTCTTGCAAATTTTTATGAAAGGAAGAAATATATCATCAGTGTTGTAATACACTGGGCTTTGTTACAATATACTTTGTCATACCAAACACAGAATTATTGACCTAAGTTTTGGTAGGTCCACAGAAGGTGCTCATCTTCTCTCCTGACTCCTCTTTAATGTAGGACAAGTTTTGATGTGGAAAATTATTTTTTATCTTGAATTTGTTCATTATACTTACTACTAAAATAATTACTGTATTATGATTTCTTATACTTATTATATCTTAAGTAATCTTTAATAATCACAATAAAATAGAAATAATCTCAAGGTATCACCTTAATCTATTCTCAAAATATGTTAGTGCCTGTTTCACAAATTGGATAACATAATCTAGGTCTCTTCATACTTCAAAGTGTTCTGCTTGTCTCTTGCCTACTCTACTCAACAAAGAGCTCTTTGTTGTAAATGGGCACCTGTTAACTGCTAGCTTCTAAGGTATCTTGTATTGGTGTAAAGTATCCCCCAAATACCATGGTTTGGATTTTGTATGGGTTTTGTTATGTGCAGCAGGAGATACTGCTGACCAAAACAGGTTCAGAGAAATAGGTTCAGGGCTGAGAAATGGGGTCTATTCTAGGCTTCTTAGTATTGAAATGAACTGTGAAATGAAAAGTCAAATCACTTTTAAATTCAGTAACAGGAAATAAGTATATATTACTGTGAGAAAGATGCTTGAAATAAATATTACAAATAAATAAATAGTATAGAAATTCCTGCTTCTTTTCCAAAGTAGTTTATTTACAGCACTTAAGAATAAATTATAGATTACAATTGCAATAAATTCTAACTGCATAACTATATACTTAGAAACTTATTTTAATTGAGAAACCTGTTACAGGGCCAGGGAGATAGCTCAGTAGAATAAGCACCTGCCTGGCAAGTGCATGGTCCTAAGTTCAATCCCTGGCACTGAAAAAAAAAAAAAGAGACTGTTTCTAATCAAAATGTTAACTAATTTCATGTGAAGTTAAGGGTGATTTGATAGATTGAATTCCTAAGCAAAAACAGGGTGTTGTGCTTTCACTTCTGGTTTAAAAGAAGAAATTAATATATCCCACAAGTTTCATTGCAATAGCATTTTAAAGTGGTTGATATCACATTGCATTATTTTACAGCAAAACTGCGGGAGTCCTGCTTTGATCCAGGCAATATAATGAATGGCTCCAGGCTCGGGATGGACTACAAATTAGGGTCCACAGTCACCTATTACTGTGATGCCGGCTACGTTCTCCAAGGGTATTCTACACTGACCTGTATCATGGGAGATGACGGAAGACCCGGATGGAATCGAGCCCTACCAAGCTGTCATGGTAAGAAACATACTTTCACTGTGGTTTATCATTAGATATAAAAAAAGAAATACTTGTAGATATTTACACATGGGGAAAGAAAAGGGGGAGGAGGTTAGAGAGTAGGATAAAGGGAACAAAAGTGCTCAGTATCAGCTATACGCAAGTACCGGGTTCCTTAAATCAAGTATCATTATGATTGCAACTCAAACAAGCGCTAATTTTTTTAAAGGTGCCTTTTTTAAAAAGCTACTTTTAAGGGGCCAGGAAGATGGCTCAGCAGAATAAGCGCTTGCCTGGAGAGCTCAAGGGCCTGAGTTCAATCCCCAGTTCCACCAAAAATAAATAAAGGTACTTTTAAGAGAAAAATATAACCATTCTATTATGAGATAACACCACTTAACATCCCGTCTCAGGGGTGGTGTAGGTAATGAGAATATTTCACCAAGGTTTTAGAAACTGAATTCAGGTTGAAAATGGCTTTCAAAGAGCGGTCACACTCCCGAGTGTCTCCAAAGCAATGTGCCTTTCACTGTTAGAGAGTTCTTTCAGACCAAAGTGCTGCCTCTCAGGTCCATTTGCGTGACGTGGGACTTAGAGCTCTGGCAGGCGTCAGATGCGCAGAAGACATTGATCACGTACATGAAGAACTAGCGCAGTGAAGCCGACGTTCCAACACAACTACCCAGAATCCTGGTACAGCGGACGGACTGTGCGCGCGTCCTGAGCCGGGAGAGGCCTCGGCGGCCTACGTGCCTGCCCGGCAGCCACACGGCTGTAAGCTTGATCCTGGATACAAAAATAAATAAAGAAGTAAAAATTAAATTTTAAAATAATAGAAATATATATAAAGGTGCATTCTAAATACCCACAAAATTGATGCAAATATTCTATCATTAGCATGCACTAAAATAATAATAATAGTAATAGTGGATAAAGGGAATTTAGAGACGGAGGGAGGAAGGTGAATGGAGAGGGGAGGGGATTAATAATAATAATAAATAATAAAGCTACACGGAACCCATGCGCCTGCTCCCCGAGATGGATGTAACTCCACCTATTGCAAACATGCTCTATTAGAATGAAATAAACAGAACTGGTGATAAATCTTTATCTAAAAGAGATACACAAGAATATACATTTCTCCTAAGAATTAGGTATCCAATATGCTCATCAGCGAGTCGCAAAATCAATGCACTGAGTTATCACCAGCAGCTTTATAGCGGAAATAAAATGCAATTCGATTTAATCCAATTAGAAGCAAAATGCAAAGCGGAGGGCCAGCGAGGTAGCGCAGCGGCGCAGCACCTGCCTACCAAGCGCGAGGTTGATGCTTGGTACAGAAAAAGAAAATAGTAAAAAAAAATTTAAAACACCAAACTAAACTAAACTAAAATAAAATGTAGAGAAAATATTGCAATTCAAGAACACCGTACTGAAAAAAATTATTTTGTGTAACTTTTTGCAATTATATATTCAAAGGTCAATAAAACACTGTACATGCAAATACCCATTTTTATACATATTCATTTGATGTTCCTGGTTTTTAATCGGGTCATGCTGTGAAGCACATTTTCTTAATCGTGAATTTTAATAAGAAACGTCGAAAAAATGGCTGATACACTTGGGAATTATTCCTAGTTTTAGAAGGTACATACTTGTAAGAATTGTTTTTCTTTGCAGAACTTCATACATTTACAAGTCTCTCTCTTTTTTTTTTTTTTTTTCTTTTGTTAATGGTACCAGGGATTGAACTCATGACCCTGCGCTTTTCAGACAAGAAGCACTTATTCTACTGAGCTATCTTCCCAGGCCCTTTTACAAGTCATTTAATCATAGCTTCTTTTCTTCCCTTTTTTATTTTTTCTGTATTTAGGGCAGGGTTTAGAGGATCTCATTGCACAGATCAGACTTGTAGTAATTCCCCTATTTTCAGCCTCCCAAGAGCTGGAATTACAGGCGCTCACCACCACGCCCAGTCTCAATCACTGTCTCAGTGTGCCCTGTGGGCAGGGATTGAGCCACTGTGCTCTGCCTAAGCAGGAGCTTTAGTCTGCTGAGCTATCAGGCTGGCTCTCTTCCTTTTTTTTTTTTTTTAATGTATTTGGTTCAGAGTCTCACTATGCAGCTTGGACTCATAGTGATCCTCATATTTTCAGCCTCCCAGAGCTGGGATTATAGGCGTGCACCACCACACCCAGTCTTGGTGGCCAGCTCAGCAAGCTAGGGATGGGGTCGGAAGGGCATGTGGTACCCAGGATTGACCCCCAGTCCCTGTGTTTGCCTAAGTAGGAGCTCAGTCCCCTATCTCACCAGCTTTTCTGAGCCTATTTTCTCTCATCTCTAACCTGAGGACAATTGAAATTGTACTCTTTAAAGTATTATTAAAACAAATAAAGCAATAGTGGATATCCATTAAATTCACTTACCAGGTATCAGAATAACTGATTAATTATTGACTTACACTGATGACTTTCTTTATCAGAAGATAAAAATTATTTAAGAAAAGATATAACTATTTTAGTTTTAATTCTTCCAAAAACTGATGAATGACATGACATTTTCATGGAAATTGAACAGAATGATCACCATTGTCTTAGAATTTAGAGCCATAAAAGATATTTGGAAAACTATATTAAATAATAATTAAACATACTTAAATAAAATACTACTTTCTGTGGCGGTTACTACATTGAATACATTTTAGTTTTCCTAAAGAAAGGAATATCAGAGAAGACGATATGTTCATGAGAATGTATGTGCCAAAAATAATTCTATTTCTTTCCAGTAGCCTTCTATATTGGAGGAAACATCAATTTCATTTATCATAGCAATATCAACTCATCATATTTGTGTGTATAGCACTATATATACAAATAAACACTCCAAGGGAAGATTTCATTTTATCAATTTTGTGCAGTCAGTAATTAATGTTGCTTGCATACCATAGACAGATTCAAGAGTACAGCAGAGCTGCGTTTGAACCCTTGTTCACTATGGCCTGAGGCACAGCAACTTGACCTTTAATTCCCTAAAGATGCACTGGCACTCATTAACTCAGTATATTACTGTGAAAGCTCATTTGTAGCATATACAGAGGGCTCTGGGAAGTGTGGTACAAATACCAGATAGCCTCATGCCTTGCCACCCTCTGCAAGCCAAGCCTTTGGCTTGGTCCTTGTCATCTTTGGGACCTGCTGTATTTCCTGGAACTAATTAGCAACAAGTACTGAGGTAACACTGTGCACTTAATTATGGGATAAGACTGGGAAATTTGTAAGGCCATTTGGAAAACTGTATTAATAATTAATTAAACATACTTAAATAAAATGCTACTTTCTGTGGCTGTTACTACATTTACTATATTTTAGTTTTCCTAGTCCCCACCACAAATATATAATAGTTTACCCTCTCAGGAACAACAGACAAGAAGGACAGGTTTTCATATGTAATAATTTAAAAAGTCAAAATCAGTGTTTGTTCATCTGTTTTACTTTTTATTTATTTATTTATTTTTTGGAACAGAGATTTGAACTCTGGACCCTGAGGCTGCCATGCAATTGCTTATGCCACTGAGCTATCTCTCCAATTTTTTTTTTTTTTTTTTTTTTC